TGCCAAGGGAGGTGGTGGAATCTCCCTCTCTGGAGATATTTAAGAACAGGTTAGATAGACAAGCTATCTAATAGAGTGAATGACATTACAAAAATGAGTATTTGATAACTGACTTAAGCAGACCCTGAACTATTAATAGTAAGCAATAAAACATTCCCACGACAAAGCCATTCCTTACTGGTGCTCTATCGATCTTGACCCGTTAGTGCTAATTACGAGTTTTAAGTGAAAATTAAAGACCAGATCTTGCCCTCTGCTTTCTGTGTTATCTAGACCTGGGAGGATAAACACCCAAATACCAGCAGATATCTGAAGATACTCCCTATGGGAAGGGTAAAGAGGAGACTAGCAGTAGGTGGTTGGGCAAATTTACTCAATTTTTAACTTCTCCAGAACAACCAGTCCCCTGGAAAATATACATATGTACTAGTTTAGATTGGATTCAAACAAGGAAGGATTCTTAGATTAAATAGTTGGGGTTTAAACCGACCCATAGTCACCTTTGTGATCTACAGAGGGGCCCAATCCTTAGGGGAGGATTGGAAGGACTGAGCCTGCCAGAATTCATTAGGGTTTTTGGTTAATCCTGGTAAGCTTATTAGCAGATGTTGGGTTTTGGGTTTTTTTTTAACTCCTATAATTCTACACCACTGTACTTGCACAAAATTCATATGTTATGGAGAAATTTTTTTCTGCAGAAAATACATTCTGCCAAAAAGATGCTGTAGTTACCGCTTTTGCCCATGAGAGGCCATTGTGGCATCAGATCAGAGAGCAGCCCCAGCTGTGGATAGGGAACAGGAAGAGACTACCTTCCTCACCATATCCCTGTGGGGCCAGGTCAGAGGCATGGGAGGCTGCTGGAGGGTCACAGAGTAGGGTTCAGAAGGGCTAGTGAGGGTAACAGACTGGGACAGGGCTGGATGGGAGGATATAGGGAGGGATAGGGGGGAAGGAAGTGGAGGGAGAAAGGGGTGGCTTAGTGGGGATGGTTCTGCCTCTTCAGTGCATTATTTGAACCTAAGGTTGAAATCCCAGAATCCAGGTGTTACATTTCAGGGTGACTGCAGGTGTATTTCCCCTCTATAATTCAACAAAAGCTCACACACTGTATTTCCAGCTCCCCAGCCATTTTCTTTCTGTGGAATACAGTTCAGGACTATACATTTAGAAGAACCTTCATTTACTATAAAGTAAGTAACATACTTTTTTTTTTGGGGGGGGGGGAGTGCTGATCCCCACATATAGTTGTGTGCAACTGACAAGCAGTACTTAAGTAGGAGAATACAAGGAGGGAGAATGCAGAGCCCTTTGCAGGACTGCTGTCCTAAAAGAAAAACCAGCAGAGGCATCCTGTACTAGAACACACGGTCTCGTTTGTGAAGATGGAACTCCATATATTTGCTTTTCAAATGTCAGGAAGAGTCGCTTCCTAAAATGATGCCACTGATGTCATTTATATTCTTGTAGAATGAGGCCTTACCTATGGTGGGCACCCTGTGGCCCCAGAGCACCCCATCTGCCTTCTTCCCCCATGTGCCTCTCAGCTCTGAGGCACCAGAGCCCCGCACTTGCCTGTTCCTTCCAATTCCCTCAGCACGCAAGAGGCACATGGGAGAGGGGGGAAGAGAGGCCATGGGGCTGTAGGTAGAACCCCAATGAGCTGTTGTGGCCACTAAGGTGAAGGAGGGCTACTCATGCAGCCCACCCATTATTTGTGGCTGCTCATCCCTGCCTTACCCACTAAAGAGGAGGAAGATATGACAGCAGACGGTAGAGTGTTAGGATATAGATATTCAAGCATGTCTGTAAAGGCCTATGTAAGAACAAAGTCTGTCTGAGGCTTTGTTCTTAAGCAAAGACTTTTCATAGAATAGAATCATAGAATACTAGGATTGGAAGGGACCTCGAGAGGTCATGGAGTCCAGTCCCCTGCCCTCATGGCAGGACCAACTACTGACTAGACCATCCCTGATAGACATTTATCTAACCTACTCTTAAATATCTCCAGTGATGGAGATTCCATAACCTGCCTGGGCAATTTATTCCAGTGTTTGACCACCCTGACAGTTAGAAACTTTTTCCTAATGTCAAACCTAAACCTCCCTTACTGCAGTTTAAGCCCATTGCTTCTTGTTCTATCCTCAGAGGCCAAGATGAACAAGTTTTCTCCCTCCTCCTCCTGACACCCTTTTAGATACCTGAAAACAGCTATCCTGTCCCCCCCCTCAATCTTCTCTTTTCTAAACTAAAACCCAATTCTTTCAGCCTTCCCTCATAGGTCATGTTCTCTAGACCTTTAATCATTCTTGTTGCTCTTCTCTGGACCCTCTCCAATTTCTCCACATCTTTCTTGAAACGTGGTGCCCAGAACTGGACACAATACTCCAAGGATATGTCTACACTGGCAGCTTTTTGTGCAAGAACATCTTGCACAAGGGTTCTTGTGCAAGAAGTCTTGCGCAAGAAAACATCCACACTGCCATGTGTGAGCTGTGCTTTTGCGCAAGTGCCCATGGCAGTGTGGATGCTCTCTTGCGCAAGAAAGCTCTGATGGACATTTTATCTATAGGGCTTTCTTGTGCAAGGAATCCCTGCCCAGCGTCCACATTGCCCTCTTGCGCAAGAGCTCCTGCAAGAGGACTTACACCTGTTAAAAGGAGCATAGCTCTTGTGCAAGAAGCACTTTTACCACACAGTACTGTAAATTTCCTTGTGCAAGAGCGGGCGAGCAGTGTGGACGCTCTGCAGATTCTTGCGCAATAATGGCCATACTTGCACAAAAAGCCGTGTGTGTAGACATAGCCCAACTGAAGCCTAATCAGCACAGAGTAGAGCAGAAGAATGATTTCTCGTGTCTCACAACACACCTGTTTTTGGTGCTTCCAAACCAGTCCAAAATGTTCATATTGAAATAAGCACATTCCAACAATTTTGGGCTGTTACCCATAGCCAACAGATAAAGTGAAGAGCCTAGAAACAGGTTGATAGCTTTCTGTCTGGCAAGGGCCCACTCCCCCTCTCTACTGTTTACCTGTCTGGTTCTTTGTTTCTGTCTCCAGTAGAATTTTTTTTGCTGGGTTTAAACCAATTAATGTGGTGGGATAATTGGTTAGATAATCATGGTACAATATGTTATGATTGGTTAGTTATGTTTCAGTAGAATGATTTCAGATATACGGTTACCAAATATTGCTATACATATAAGGGACAAACAGGAAGGGAGAAAAGATGGTGAAAAAACACAAGGGGAAAAAGGAAAGGGAACTGGAAACTAACCTCAGTAAACATCCAATTGTTTGCATCTCTGGTCTTTTAAGTATTGCTCTTCTCTGTTCACATGTGGACCAGGAAAGTGGGAATGTGAAGGGATAAGCTGTATAAAAGAATACAGCCTAAGATCCATTTACAGATGTTCTGGGAAGCTATAGTATAACCATGGAAAAGTTCTGGCCTAGAGAGAACATGTCAGGGATTTTCTGATTAGTTATACACTTAGGACTCGTCTACACTGGCCCCTTTTCCGAAGGGGGCATATTAATTTCACAGGTCTTAATAGGGGAAATCCGCGGGGGATTTAAATATCCCCCGCGGCATTTAAATAAAAATGTCCGCCGCTTTTTTCCGGCTTTTAGAAAAGCCGGAAAAGAGCGTCTACACTGGCCCCGATCCTCCGGAAAAAAGCCCTTTTCCGGAGGATCTCTTATTCCTACTTCAAAAGTAGGAATAAGAGATCCTCCGGAAAAGGGCTTTTTTCCGGAGGATCGGGGCCAGTGTAGACGCTCTTTTCCGGCTTTTCTAAAAGCCGGAAAAAAGCGGCGGACATTTTTATTTAAATGCCGCGGGGGATATTTAAATCCCCCGTGGATTTCCCTATTACGACCTGTGAAATTAACATGCCCCTTTCGGAAAAGGGGCCAGTGTAGATATAGCCTTAGACTTAAAGGCCACAAGCGACCATCAGGATTATATGATCTGACCTCATGCACATTGTAGGCAATAGAACCTTGCCTACCCTCTCCTTTGTAGGTAAAAAGCCAAGGCTTGTTGCATGTTGAGAGAACAAAGCCCCCGCCTTTCCAAAGATGGACACGGTTTCATAAACCCAGGTAAGTGGACAGATTCAAGTAGAATTCTGCATGTACCTGGCGCTGAATGTCAAATGTAGCTGTAATGAGACTTTGTCCTTATGAAATATAGTGCAGGATGGATCCACCATTAGTGCTCTGGCCTAAGGATGTTATCTAGTGGTTAATTTGCTAGTTGAGTAGTCAATGGAAATTCCATTGACTACTCGACTAGTAGATAGGCACTTCTTCATTCCTCCTCCACTGGGGCTCTTGTACATTTCAAAGGAGGAAGGTGGATCTCCACGTGCAGCCCGGGGCCAGCGGAAAGTCCTGCTGACTGCGGGCTGCATATGGGCCAGCTTTGAAATGTACAAGAGTCCCCGGTGGGGGCTCTTGTGCATTTCAAAGTGGAAGTGCCCTCATGGAGCCTTAGGTCAGCGGGGGACTTAAGTGACCCCAAACTCCATGCTGTGCTGCCAATTTGAAATGCCCTGAGGAGCCTGGGGTCAGCTGGGGACTCCCCAGCTGACTCCGGGCTCTGCACAGTGCAGGATTAGCTGTGCAGCGCTGCTGCTTTGAAGTACTCCCTCTTAGAGGTAGCAAACGGGCAGGCGGAATCAACTAGTCCTTAACATCCTTACTCTGGACTCAACTACCCTTTTAGCTCAGGTGATGGCCACAAGGAATACAACTTTTATCAATAAGATACCAAGAACTTGTGGCTAATGGTTTCAAGGCTTCATGAGTGGCCACAATTTAACGTTTAGCTCCCAGTGAGGGGTAGGCTTCCTTACTAGCAGGAAGGTTCTGATTAGACCTTTCAAGAATCTGTTATGTTATTAATTTTAATTAACAGCACAGCTTTTAATGATGATTATATGATTTGATTAGTGAGATGAAGGGGCAAACTGAGTGAGTGAAGAAAAAAAGCAGTCTTTCAAAACATTTATTTTCCTGCTACCTAAAATGAAAATACTGCAAATGTTTAAACATACCTTTTGCAGCTGGAAAGTAGCTATAAAAATGGGCAAATATTTTAGTCGGTACGCAGCACTAACAAAATATGGGAAAAGTTGAATGAGGCCTTTTCATCATAGACACACTTTAACAAGGTTTGATAGCCAAAATACTGATTAACAACAAGCCACTGAAGCTATGAATTGGGGAGCAGACTATACAAAAAGTCCAACTTTTTTTCTTATTGAGCATTCATTTCTGAAAACATCTCTACTTAGAACTGAATAATCTTGTTAATTAACAAACTATGTATAACATACTGGTAGGAAAGCTTGCACTGCCACTACCTATGTTAATTGCAGGGCCACCTTTAGCAACTAAAAACACATTCTCATGCCTTTTCAGTCCTTGGTGCCTGTGCTTAAATTGCCAACAGTGCAGGCTGTAGTAGGTTTTCTAAAGGTCAATTCCATTTGCAATTAGCAAAGATAACTAGAAACAATATTTTCAAAATTGTTTATCAACAGTAGTTATTGTGTATCTCATAGGTGCTCTGATTTGTGTTGGAGGGCTACATTTAAAATTACACGAGGCATCAACTGAATGTGATGGATTTAGTTATCATTAAGAAATAGTTATGTTAAAAATACACATTTAATTCAAGTCAGATTTGAGGCTTTATTACAAAGTCAAGGAAAGCAACTGTTTCCAAGACACAAGAACTTTCTATCCAAGCTTAAAGATACTGTTTAAAGCTACAGCCCATAGAACTAGGGTGGGGAACCTCTCTCAACTGGGGGTCACTGACCTACAGAAAAATCAGCCAGGAGCTACACGCAAGTGAGAAAAAAAGTTCCCTACCTCTGCCATAGAATGTCTTACTTTCAAATATACATTTCTGGCTAACTAAATATCATACAGAACACCTGATACATAGGGCATGAGTGGAAGCATACTAAAACTTATAGACTGGTTCTTTTTTTTTTAAACCAGAAGCCAATTTTGTTTGTTAAAACATTCCTCTGGATACACAAACATATCTAAAATGATGAAAAGCAACCAAAAATATTTTGTCTTACTGAAAAGATCTCAATTCCAACAAAACTACATTTTTCATTGGCTGCACTTTGGACTGCTGGTAAAGACGCAAGTACCAAATCAATAGTCAGTAGTGCCATGCTACAGCGTCCAGTTCAAACAACAAACATATCTTGAGCACCTCTGCTGAAAATAATTTCAGCCTCTGTGCTCAATAATAAGATTACACCATGGAGTTACTGTCCACTTTCAAGCTGTAAGGTATGTGCCAAGAAAAGTCAATCATTCTTTGTTACACCAAATGGAATGTATTCAGGAAATTCGTGGATAATTTTCAGTGCTTCATTGTAAAGCACTAGATCTGAAAGAGAGAGAAAGTGTGTAAGACATTTTGTGACAAACAGATTAAAATGCTAACTAGCCCAGAAGGGACGTAAATATCTTGTCACGTTACTGGATTTTGTGGGGAGCAGCCAGATCACTGCGGCACCCATGGGGGGGGGGGGGAAGTTGGTACAAAGTCCCTGCTGGGGACTCTTGTACATTTCAAAGCTGGTATGTCCGTGTCAGCCTGGAGCCACTGGGAAGTCCCACTGATTCTGGGGTCCATGTGGGTGCTTCCGCTTTGAAATGTGTAAGTGCCTCCCTGATGGCCCTGGGCTGCACGTGGAGTTCCACATTCCTCCTCTGAAATGTACAAGACCCCAGTGGCTCTTTAGCTTAAATTTCCTTGCATAAGGACATTAACATTACTATATTTTTATCTTTTTACTTTCTTTTCTGTTCAAGGTTCTGAAATTAAGACTGGCTATTTACACCAGCCGTTCCTAATCATCCAGACATGGACAGCTGGCTCTTGGGGCTGAGGCACAGCACTCTTGCCACTGCTGTTGGGAGTGGCGTGTCCTGATCTGCCTCTCAACCAGCCAGCCCCAGGATAGAGCAGGGTCTCTTCCTGGCCACAGAAGAGCACTTTCCTGCATGGCAGGAGGGCTGCACGGAGCTGCTCCACACAGCCCTCCAGTTATGCAGGGAAGTGCTCTTCCACAGCTGTAAGGAGATGTTGCACCATATGGCCCTTCTGCAGCATAGGGAAGTGCTCTTCCACGGCCAGAGGAGACTCTGCCCTGCCCTGGTTGGCTGAGAGGTGGGGCAGGACACACCTCTCCCAGCAGCTGGGGCAGAAGGGGAGGCAGTGGGAAGTGTATCCCAGCCATGGCTAGGTGAAAGGGGTGGGGCAGGCACTAGTAGCTCCAGGGGCAGGGCTAGTGCTGGAAAGCTCTGGAAGCTGAGCTAACAGTCGGGGAGGATATGAGGCAGGGCTCTGGGGACAGGGCTAACACTGGGGGCTGGCACTGTGGGAGGCTCTGGGAGGGTTGGGTGCAGTGAGGCTCTGCAAACAGGGCGCTGGCATTGAGGCGTTGGGGTGTAGGGGAATCTGGGGTCAGTGGCTGGTGCTGAGTGTTCTGGGGCTTTTGGCAGACAGGCAACGTTTTACCTGCATCTTCATCATGTGCAAAATGAATATGCAAATAAAATGTTACAGGTCCACCAAAAGTTTGTGAATGAGTTTGCTGGTCCCTGGTATCAAAAAAGTTGGGAACCACTGACTTACACAACCTCCATGCTAAGTCTAAGTCTGTATCCTGCAGGCAATATTCCCTCTTATCTTTTCCATATATGTAAAGTTTATTTCCATCAATGTACAGAATTTTTTTATGTGCACTGAGGCAAGTGCTCCGCCAGTAAAAACAAAAACCTTGCAACGGGCACTCTGCTAACCAGCTGGGCGACACATGAATTAGGAATGTTACATTTCGATTAATCAGCTAATCGAGTGGTTAATAGAATTTCTATTGACTACTTGATTAGTTGATAAGGGGGGGAATGCTCACTGTCCCACTCCCTTTGAAATGTACAGGAGCCGCCGCCGGCTCCAGTACATTTCAAAGGGAGAGACGCAGCAGCAACTTGTGCTAGCAGGAGGAAAGCTTTCCTCCCTGTCACAGGTTCCCCTCTGTGTCTCTTCCTTTGAAATGTACAAGAGCCATCTGCAGTTGGGATCAGCTGGAGTGGGACTGTTTCAATCCCCACTTGTGCCATTTCCCTGCTGCCCTCTGCCTCCCCGTGGAGATGGTGCTGGAGGGAGCCAGCTTTTAAGCTGGCTCCTTCCATCACTGGTTTCTGCCTCCCCCACTTGCTGCCTCTCTCTGATAAAGGCAGCAAGGCAGGGAAATGACAAGTCAAGTTCCTACTCGACAAGCATTTGCTTATCGGGTAGTTGACTGGTCTAATTTGAATGTCTCCTCAACAACTGCACAAGCACCCAGTTGACAAGGAACAATGGTTGCATGTAATTGAATTTTTTTCATTAATTCTGGAAGAAAGATCTTGCATTGCATGGAAGCCTCTATATCAAAAGCATTGATTTCTGGAAGAAGCTTGTGCGTGGAGCTCTTTCCTACACATTCACCACACTGGGAACTACCAGACAGACCTGACTCATGAGAGAGGATTAGCAGACATGCTCCTTCTTTCACTGAGGACATTTTTAAAATCTAAAAAATTATGTAAATTTCTTGTAAGGCATATCTTACTTACCAAAAGCACTTTTATCTTCTCTGAACTGGACATATGACATACACATGATGGTTGCCTGATTTGTAACTCTTCCCACCACTTCAATGACACCAGAGAGCTCTTCATCTAACTAGTGAACATACAGACATTAAAGTCACCAGATATTTACTATTTTCAGCACATCATTGTTACACATCCAGCTAATTTAAGAAACAATGTTTATGATAATTTGTCTGTCCCATTTCACACAATACGGTACTGAAAAATAATTATACAACCTAATTAGTGATTTAAAAGATATACTGCTTTATTACCAAGAAAGAATTCAGTACTGTCTGAAAGAAATAGAAAATGACTAAAAACTGAAGGCAACACATTAATAGCATGTCCAATTGTGACATTTAGTAAAACAGGGGAAGCTGGGCAGGTTATGTCCTTTTCAATACAGCTGAGTCACACTACAGAATAATGCAAGGTGCAGGTCAGTGCCGGCTTCCCAGCAGTGCACCAGAAGAAGAGTTCTCGTACTGAGTGCACTTTACGGTTGCAGCAGACTTTTCTCCAGATTGTGAAGGAAGTGATCCCCACAAGTTTCAGCCATATTTGCCTATACAGGAGCACACTGATCACTCAATGTATCCATTATGTTTAGGCACCTAATAATTAGTTGTTTAAGCTCAAGTAATGAAATTTAAAAAAAAAATTATTAAAAAGATTGGCAATGCAAAGTAAAGTGCTTTAAGCCATTTAATTGTTCCTATAAGCACTTCTTTATATATATATATTAGAGTTATAGTACAATAGGAAATAAAAGAATATATCAATTGCTTGTGTACGTATATTAAGACGCATTCAGCAGTCTCTGCACTTAGTTTGTTATTTTAGATCATAAAGCCCGAAGTACAGATTTTTAAAGCTTGTCTAAATGGCAGTGAAATTAAGATAATGAAAACTAGAAGCTTTGGGTAGACAATTATATCATAGTCATGATCTCTTTTACAGAAAATCATGGAATCATCACTCAACTGCAGTGTCAGACACTGGTATCTTCAATCTTTCTGGAATGACATGATAGGAAGCCTTTTTAGAGTACGTCTACACAGCAGCATTATTTCAGAATATCTGACATTATTCTGAAATGACATAGTGCGCATCTACACAACAAGCCTTTATTTCAAAATAATGTTGAGCCGAGTTCTTACTCTGACTCCTGGTAACCCTCATTTCACAAGGAGTAAGGGAAGTCGAAGGAATAATGTTCTTCCTTTGACTTCCTGCTGTTTAGACAGCATCAAAAGCAGAATTAAGCTATTTCAACTTAAGCTACACAATTGATCTAGCTGAAGTTGTGTAGCTTAATTTGACATTAGCCCTGCAGTGTAGATGTACCCATAAGGACCCTCCTAAAAGATCAAGGCAGAGCATAGATAATCTTGCAGGAAAATATTATTCCAGCAAGCGAAAGGCAGGATGGAAGCCAATGTAATTTCCACACTAATTCTGTTGATCATTTATTTTGGAAGAATCTAGTTAAGCCACAGAAATAGAATTTACTCACCGTAAACAATATTTCATCGAAAAAATATGGAAGGTCCTTTTGGAATTAAGACACCTTGTGTTCATCAAGGAAAATATACATAACACCTAAACTTTTTAAATTAGGTTTAAAACAAAACAAAACCAACAAAGTAAGTCCTACTGACTGAAACTTAGTGGAATACCTCTTAGATACATGAGGAGTGTTCTAAGAGGTAGATGATGAAAGTTCATCTCAAAGACAGTGAGCATAGACTGTACAGTAGATTCTAGTAAAGATTAAATATACTAACGCCCAAAGTTGACAAGCAGGCGAGAAAAAGGTGAGTAAGGGAAAAGTAAAAGTAGTAATAAATTGGAATACATTATGCAGGAAAATTAGTAAAAGTGCAAATGGCTACAGTGGGACAATTCAGAGAAGCCAGTCACTAGTGCGGCTGAGAGAGAAACCAGACTTTTGAACAGAATTCAGACAGATGAATGAACCCAATACAAATTTGTTAATTTCAGTACTAGCGGGGGCGGGGGCGGGGTGGGTGAGGCTTGGTCAAGGGGACAGTTTAAGTGAGGAAGAGGCAGCATGGGGAGAAATATAGTTTAGAATGGGAGAGTTACAAAGGAGGAGAACAAAGCCAACAAGAGGAATTGACAAAAGCTAAACAAAACTAAGCCCAAATAAAACACACACACACACACACCTCAACACAAAAAAGCAAAGGTTTCCAAGAAAGAGTAGGCTCCTGAAGTCTAGGGATTCTCAAACTTTATTGTACTGACCCTGTTCTGACAACAAATTATTTCATGGCCCTAAGAGGGGCGGACTGAAGCCTGAGACCACCTAAGACAAATTGCCTGGGTGCAGGGCCTCACTGCTCTGGGGAGCCAAAGCTAAAACTTAAGGGCTTCAGCCCCATGCAGGTCTTGCAATCTGAGTCCCACTGCCTTGGGGACTGGTCACCATATTGAAAGGGAGTCTGGATGCAGAGTTTGAGAGCCATTGGCTTTAGGTATTTATTGACCTTTCAGTACATGATCAGGAAGAGGGGGCTGACACAAAGGTAACTTCCAAAATGACACTTAAACTTACAGGCTCAGTCAGTTCAACAGTTGTATTTTTTCCTTCTCCATCCGAAAGAATGAAAAGTTTCCCAGATGGGTGAATCTAGAAAGAGATTATTAAGTCCTTAATACATAACTTCAAACTATCAAAGCAAATTTCTTCTGAATTATAACTTGACTCTGAACTGCATGAGATACTTTGTCTTCTCATGTATGTAAACTGAATTATTCCCTATCAGCTTAAATATTTAAGATAACATTCTTTATTTTTTCCAACTCCTTCCTATCTGTTAGAATGGCTACTTAAAAAAGCATCACTTGTTTTAGCTAATTGCAGGCTCTGTCTACATCAGTGGTCTCAAACCTTTTTAAGCATGAGATCACTTTTTTAATTTAAATGCAATTTAGGATCTACCTCAAACCCAAATACCCTTGTCTCTCCTTCTAGACCCCCACCTCTGCTCACTCTATCCTCCCTCCCCCATCCTTCCTCCCTTTCCCCAGGCAGAGGGTTGGGGTGTAGGCTCTGGTCTTGGGTTAAGGGATTTGGAGTGTGAGAGGGGCTCTGAGCTAAGCCGGGGGCAGGGAGCTGAAGTGCAAGAGGGGGTTTATGACTGGGGCAGAGGTTCATTATGCAGGCTCCAGCTGGACACTGATTACCACAGGTGGCTTTTAGGTGGTGCTTTACACTCCTTTAACATGGCTATTCTCTAAAGACAGGTTTCACACAACACCACGGGTAAAAAATTGTGACAAAATTAAGCCTAGCACATTCAACCATAATGCTGAAAGCAAACAAGCCACAGGGAAAGACTCATTTGTGCAGATAGAGTGAGGAAAACAGTCTATTTGGCTCTACTTGCCAGGTGCAAGGGATGAGACTGTGTAAATACTGTGGCATTAGGCAAATATAAACTCCCTGCAACTCATTTTTCAGGATTCATTGGATCCAAATGCGCTGGTGTCCCCGACCTATGATAGCATCAGCACCTGGCGGAGGCAGCGTAGACAGCCAGCAAGCACCCAATGCAGACCGCAGCAGACCCCAGGAGGCTGGAGCTGCCCTGGGCGGGGACACCGGGGTAGAAATGCGGAGCGGAGCTACTCTGGGCGCTGGGTCTGACACACCTCGGGCCAGGACCCTTGGTAGAGCCTGGCCCGGTGCTGCCGGGCTCCAGAGAGCAGCTCCCCAGCAAGGGCTGTGAGGGAACCCCAAGCAGCCCGGGGCCAGATGCTGCTCTTCCGCGGCGGCCGATAGCCCCGCAGCTCCTGGACCTCGGCACCGCGCCCCGGGGACACCCAGGGAGGCAGCGGGCTCCAGACCGTCCGGCCTGGGGAGTGAGAGGAAGCAGCCAGCGGCGGGGGCAGGGCCCTGCCGGGGGCCGGGGGGCCC